TTAAGATGGGTGGATTTCAACACCCAGAATTCTCCAGCCAGCCCGTTCCTTTCGCTTCCTGCCTGCCTCCCTATTAATCCCTACTCCCTTCCCTACCTTCTTCTCCTTTTTTGCTCTTCTTCTCTAACGAAGAGAAGGACGAGGGGGGACATGATAGCAGCGTTCCAATATCTCAGGGGCTGCCCCAAAGAAGAGGGAGTCAAGCTATTCCCCAAAGCCCCTGAAGGCAGGACGAGAAGCAACGGATGGAAACTCATCACTGAGAGAAGCAACCTGGAACTAAGGAGAAACTTCCTGACAGAACAATTAACCAGTGGAACAACCTGCCTCCAGAAGCAGTGAATGCTCCAACACTGGAGGTTTTAAGAAGAGACTGGACAGCCATTTGTCCGAAATGGTATAGGGTTTCCTGCCTGAGCAGGGGGTTGGACTTGATGATCTCCAAGGTCCCTTCCAACTTTATTATTATTATTATTATTATTATTATTATTATTATTATTATTATTATTATTATCATCATCATCATCATTATTATTATTATTATCTTTTAATTAATTCATGTGCTACCCTCCCTTTCTATTTCTTTTCCCTTCTCCATTTCTCCTTTCTTTTCCTTCCTCCCCATTTCTTTTCCCTTCTCCATTTCTCCTTCCTTCTTTCCTTTTTCTTTTCTTTTGCCTTCTCCATTTCTCCTTCCTTCCTTCCCTTCCTTCCATTTCTTTTCCTTCCTTCCTATTTCTTTTCCCTTCTCCATTTCTCCTTCTTTCCTTTCCTTTTTTCTTTTCCCTTCTCCATTTCTCCTTCTTTCCTTTCCTTTTTTCTTTTACCTTCTCCATTTCTCCTTCCTTTCTTCCCTCCCATTTCTTTTCCTTTCCTTTCTCCATTTCTCCTTCCTTCCTATTTCTTTTCTTTTGCCTTCTCCATTTCTCCTTCCTTCCTTCCCTTCCTTCCATTTCTTTTCCTTCCTTCCTTCCTATTTCTTTTCCCTTCTCCATTTCTCCTTCTTTCCTTTCCTTTTTTTCTTTTACCTTCTCCATTTCTCCTTCCTTTCTTCCCTCCCATTTCTTTTCTTTTCCTTTCCTTTCTCCATTTCTCCTTCCTTCCTATTTCTTTTCTTTTGCCTTCTCCATTTCTCCTTCCTTCCTTCCCTCCCATTTCTTTTCCTTCCTTCCTTCCTTCCTATTTCTTTTCCCTTCTCCATTTCTCCTTCTTTCCTTTCCTTTTTTTCTTTTGCCTTCTCCATTTCTCCTTCCTTCCTCCCTCCCTCGAGGGAAGAGGAATGAGAAAGGAAGGTGCAGATTATGTAGAGAGGCCTCAGTCCAACATGCAGTGGCAGGGTATAAGATGCAGGTAAGGAGTAGCACGCACTGTCCCTTCCAAGTCTGTTATTCTTTATTCTGTAAATGTTCAGAAGGACGAGGAGGGACCTGATAGCGGTCTTCTAGTATCTCAGGGGCTGCCCCAAAGAAGAGGGAGTCAAGCTATTCTCCAAAGCGCCTGAAGGCAGGACCAGAAGCAATGGATGGAA